CTGTGCACTCCTCCTTTTGTGATATTTTGCCTTTCTTACATAGCAGTCTCTTTTGCTAGCCTTTCTGTCCACTCCTCCAACGAAAACTGAGCATTTTCTCAGTTGCAGTCCTGGCTAATCACTAAACAATTGGATTATGATCTCAGTGCAGTGGTGAAAAAGCATTGATTTAATAGGGCAACAGCTGACTCTCCTAAGTATGTGTGCTATATGTGGGAAGTGGTTAATTTCTCACTGCATACCTGTCTGACATGGCTCACAACGTAGCCACGGTCCTTTTCTTTTCTTTTTTTTCCCCCTTAAAGCTTTGTTGGCAGTTCCTTTAAATGCCAGGCACTTGTGCTAAAAATAGCTGTTCCATTTTCTTGTGACTCCACCTGGGTTAGTCTGCCTGCTTGCCGGCTTCCCAGGAGGCCAGAGCCACAGTAAGGCTTTGTTAGCGAGTCTTTGTATTATGCTGCTCCCCTCCAACTACAGATGACCCACATGGCACTTCCTCTGCGGGGCTGTGTGCGGTGCCCCTGAATAGCTCTGGGTGGGGCAGATGCCCGCAGCAGCATTCAGCTGCAGCTGTGGGCACTCCAAAGGCGTGCGCATCAGCGTAAACATTGCAAGTGGAAAAAGGTCACTGCTCAGGGAAGTCGTCTCATTTAATTTTTTAAAAAGATGAAGAGACCCTGGGAGAGACCAGTGCGCACCACCAGGTGAAAGGGAAGCCGAAACAATGGGAGGTCATCAGACAAAGAAACAGGAAGAAGTTTGAAAGGAATTTGTGGTCCTGACTCTAAGATGGCCTTTTTAAAAATAATTCCATAGTGCAGATGTGGAGGCATGGCTTACAATTGCTCGGTCCATTCAGTGTGGTAGTGGTGTTTTTTCTCTCCCCTGCTTATCCTCCCAGCCCCTACTCCACCCCATTATTAAAGCAAGGGTATCACTCTTGCAATGAATGATGTCTAGATTTGAGGAAAGCATAGGTTCACCAAGGTAGCCTCACCACAATCCAGAGTTTACCCCTCCCTACCTTGTGAATTAAGAATCCTAATTTGTACTCTAGCCAGTTTGGTTCAGTGTATAGAGCGTTGGCCCGAGGACTGAAGGGATCCGGGCTCAATTCCAGTCAAGGGCACATACCTCATTTGCAAGGTTATCCCAATGTTTCTCTCTCTCTCTCTGTTTCTCCCCATCCCTTCCACTTTCTCTAAAATCAATGGAAAAATATCCTTGGGTGAGGATTAACAAAAAAGAAGTAAAAATAAAATTTGTTCATTGTTTTAAAAAAAAAGAATCCTAATTTGCAGATGTGTGGGTGATCTGGCTGCCACATCTGTCACCTCATTGATCACCAGGGTTAATTGGGGGGGGATCTGGCTGCCTAGGCAGGTGTCCCCCTTCTCCCTCACAGATCCATGTGTGTCCCTCCCGAAGCTGCACCTTCCCCCCAGAAGAGAGGACCGGTCTTCGGTCAAGGGTATACCAATAGCTGCACTCCCCTGCTAGAACCTCCAAGCAAGCTCTCAAGAATCCTAATTTGCAAGCCCACAGGAGGACATTTTCTAAGAAAAAGTCTAATATTTACGTGGATTACAAAGACGGAAGTGTAAATTTAGATTGTCCATTGAACGAATGTAACCCACAATGGGAGAAATGGCGGAATATCTATGTCAGTGTGACCAACCTGTTCCCTTCCTAACAATGGATTCTTGAAAGCCTCTTTTTAATTAAAAGAGTATTTGGGGGATTCCCAGGTAACTTGAAAAGTCCATCTCCACAATATAGTCTTGTCAACAGGCCATAATATTCATCGGTCCGTGTGATTTTTCCTTTTTTTAATCTTCTTTCAGCAGGTACCTCAAAACAGAGAGAGAGAAAAGTCATATACCTAGGAGTGAAACTGATGGGGTATAAGTTATATTTATATTCAGGCTCAGTGTATCTAGAGTATTTTCTTTAAATGAATATCAGACCAAATGACTCACCTGTTGAAACCCTCACTGGCTGTTTCTTTTATAGTTTGAATAAATTGTGCTTCAAATTACAGGGCCCTGTAGGACCAGCCTGTGTTGACTTCTCTAGCTTCATCGCATGCTACTGTTTTTCTAGACTCAGCCATGTTTGCTCCCATTCATTTATCTTTCTGAATGTAGGTCTCCTGCTTTTCTCTCGGTTTTGCATATTCTTACTGTCCAACCCCTTTGCCCCTCACATCCACCACCCACACAGTTCAGCTCCTCATCAGCAAATGTCCCTTCTTGGAGAAGCCTTCTCTGATTGTGGTTATCTAAGTAAGTGCCTCCATTTTACCTAAGTAAGTATTTCCATTCTATTTTCTGTAATTCTATCAAATTTCTTCATGGCACTCATGACAAATTTGAAAGTGTATGCTAATTTTATTTCTTGTTCATCTGTGTTGTCTTCCAGCATTGGGGACTTTAAAAAATATCCGTGAGAAGCTGCTTCTCATAGATGATGTTCTGCACCATGGTGTGAACTGGAGAGCCATACCGATGCCCAACTGCCCTTGGACAGTCCCCTTTACAGTACCGGGGGTTATATCTGTGCGGGGCCACAACCCAGTTGTCCCACTTCAGCTGACTAAAGCTAAGTCTAAAGTCAGGGAGCTCACACTCGTGTTGGGGGAAAAGGAACTGTTTGAAGTATTCACTCAGGTTGAAAGAAGCTGGAACCAGAGGCTTCTTCAATCTTGAGCTGACAGTTTCCTGTCCTCTCCGGTGACGGGAAGATCTCACTCCCTTTGCAGCCTCTTCTCCTATAGGACAGGCAGGCAGACCTCCCTGGTCAGGAGCCTGAGAAGGGCTCCCTTTAGAGCGGAGGGAATACCACCTGTGATGAGCCTGCACACTGGTGTCGTTCAGGTACAGAAGCAGTGAGGGGCGTGCCAGGCTGAGGGCCCTGTCCTGTGCTGAGGGGTGCTGCCGCTGGTCTTTCCCGCATGTCAAGGTCACAGACACGTGAACACTTCTCTTGTCGGAGGCCACCAGAGGCTGCAGCAGGGCAGTCACATCAACCTCAACCCATTTGTATTTCTTTTTTAATTCAAACTGTGACTTAAAGGTAACGGAGTGTGGAGCTCTAGGGGGTGTCTTGCTGGAACTAGACGCTGGCTCTTTCAGCACCAGGTGGCACAGTGGATAGAGTGTCGGCCTGCAGACTGAAGGGTTCAGGGTTTAATTCTAGTCAAGGGCATGTACCTCAGTTTCAGGCTCCTCCCCAGTCCAGGTCCTGGTCAGGGCTTGTGCAGGAAGTTAACCAATCGATGTGTTTCTCTCACACTGATATTTCTCTCTGTCTATTCCTCTTTCTTCCACTCTCTCTAAATGTCAATGGAAAAATATGCTCAGATGAGAATTAAAAGAAATATATATCCATGAGTATGCCTCTCTCCCAGAGAGCTTTATATAACTGGTTTGGTGGGGATCCTGGACTTGGTATTTTTTAAAAGCCTCTCAAGCTAATTATTGTACTATAGTATATGCAATAAGCCACATACATATCATTATAAATAAACTAGAGGCCTGGTGCACAAAAATTTGTGCACTCGGAGGGGTCCCTCAGCCCGGCCTGTGCCCTCTGACAGTCTGGGACCCCTCGGGGGATGACCACCTGCTGGCGTAGGCCCGCTCCCTGGGGGATTGGGCCTAAGTTGGCAGTCAGACATCCCTCTGGCAGCCCGGAGCCCTCAGAGGATGTCCACTTGCCAGCGGGGAGCAGGCCTAAGCTGCAGTCGGACATCCTTAGTGCTGCTGAGGAGGTGGGAGAGGTTCCCACCACCACCGCTGTACTGGCAGCCATCAGCCTGGCTTGTGGCTGAGCAGAGTTTCCTCTGTGGGAGCACACTGA